ACCTTTTTAAGACCCACATCATTGTCCTTTTAAATATATCTTCTGGGAATTTTATTGCCACCAAAAAAAGCAATTCTCATCAGAAAAATGTGTGCTCTAAAATCTGGAGACATCTAGTGAGGTACATGGAAGAGAGTTTGGAATGGAGGCATTGTCATGTCTGAGGGGGGCAGGTATGAGTTCCATGACAGTAATGAATGCTCAGTTCACAATGCTGAGGTGATGCTCAACCTGCCTCTGTCAGGCTGGGATACCCAGCACTGTTCTGGACTTGGCCCATCGTAGCACTGTGCTTGCCATCCCTAAGAGCAAAACTGGAGAGGAAGCTCACAGCTGTGTTTGCACTCACAAGCAATATTCTTGCAGACACGCCTGTGGCTTTTTGGTGTCTGAAATTAAAAGTTAGCTCTCAGAGTAGCTGAAGTTCTGGAAGATGGATTTGAGAACAACCCAATTTCCATGTTCATGTCTCTTGTTCCTGAATCTCCAGCTTAAAAGGGTGCACAAGTGTGTTCATGCAAAGTCAGAGCAACTTGGCTGTAGGGTTTGTATCTGGAGGGATTCAAGTAAGACTGAAAGAAGGCAAGAGTTAATGAGGGGCTGAGGGAACAAATTTAAGGGATAGTATTGTGAAGCAACACCTTTGAAAAGGTGATGATAAAGAGCAACTTCCAACTCGCCTATAGTGAGACCAGGAAGGAAAGCACACTTCTGTCACGCACATGCAGCCTGGGCAGAGGTAAGGTGTCAGCCTCAATGTCCTACCACCTTGTGCTTGGATGTGTGCCTGCCTGCGGCTCAAATGTGCATTATGGGCACTTCTCTGAAGAAGTGTTTTTATCAAGTTCATACTGAAGTAGGCCTCGATACGAAGCTTAAATTAACCAACAGCACAGTTCAGAAATGTGACAGCCTCTGATAATTATTTTTGGAGCTATCTCTTCACAGCCTGTCGGAGAGATCTGCCTCTGTCTTTTGCAGTGTATCACAAATGACTTGTTCATGCCTTTCTGGTCTTTTCAGTTTAGTTTCCTGCTTACTGTTCCATAACTGCATGGCCCACAAAGTAGCCATGATCATGTAGCACAAATAACAACTGAGAAGTCTTAATTAGTCAAAAGTTACTAAATCTTGCCAACAGAGGCAAGATTTCAGAAAGGAATAGCCTTAGCAGTCAGTCATCTTTATAAACCCCGCAGTTCAGTCATTCAGGCACTGGTTATACAGCATAAAGCTCATGTAGTGCTGAAATGTCTTGTTTATTCTCCCAGCTGTTAATACTGACTCCAAGAAGACTGTTTTCCTCCTGAAGAGGATCTCTCAAGTGGCACAAGTGTACTGTGATATGAACACAACAGGGCACTTCAGTTTCTCAACTGATAACCGTAGCTCTAGGGTACTAAAATTCAATTAGTACTGTATGTATTCATGATTTAGGTAAATATTGGAAGTTCACAGATTTGTCCATTTAATATGAACACTGTTAAGCCGTAACAGAAATGAACAAGTGTATATTGCAAGGGAAGTAAAAATATGAAGTACAGTCCTAAAGCCCAGTGTAATCCAGATGCTTTGGTGTTCAAGATGAAGGAAGATTCAGTAGCATCTGTCATCTTCTTGTTTGCTCTTCCAGGTAAATTCCACCGTCTCCGTGTTGAGGCAGATGAGCAAACCATTTGGGTTGATAAGTATGTGAGCCACGAGAACTACACCAAGGAGACCTCTGATAATGACATAGCCATGCTGCACTTGGCTGAGCCCGTGGTGTATAACAAATACGCGCTCCCGATCTGCCTTCCCACCCGCGACCTGGCAGAACAGGAGCTGACGACAAGTGGGAAGCAGATGGTGGTAACTGGCTGGGGCAGCACAAGTGATGTTAAAAACAATTACTCTACTTTCCTCAGTTACATCCAAATCCCCATGGTTCCCCGGAACGAGTGTTCCCAGGCGATGAGATTTGCTATCTCTGACAACATGCTATGTGCTGGGAGCTTAGGAGACAGAAAAGATTCCTGCAGTGGGGACAGTGGAGGCCCTATGATCACTAAGTATAAGGATACTTGGTTTTTGGTAGGACTGGTGAGCTGGGGTGAAGGCTGTGGGAGAAAGGAGAAGTTTGGAGTCTACACCAAAGTTAGTCAGTATCTTGAGTGGATCCAGCACCACATAAATAAGATGTCAGCTTCTTGGCAGGGTTGATTCTGATACTGAGAGGCTGGAATGTTGTGGCTATGTGCTGGACAGTATGCAGTGTAATGTACTGTCAGATCTTCAGTATTAAATATGGAGTATATGTTAACCTGGTGTACTGTTTTCCTTGGTACCTGTTTTATGCCTTTTTTTTTTTTTCTTCTTCTTTTTTACTTAGTTTCTATTGGTTAGTTTCCAGGTTATGTGGTTCATTTGTAGCATGGTCCTACACTAAGCCTTATAGGCAAGAAATAATACTCTGTTACACTGAGATGCTTTACAGCCTTGTAGAAAATAAACTGGTCCGCAGTCAGACAACTCTATCTTTGAAGTGTGAAATGACTGAATTGGTTGGGGTGAGGGATGGGAGGGGATAGAAACAAGTGTTTTAACAATCATTATAGTGATACAGTTCTGTCATTTCAGCTTTACTGCAACAAATCCACAGTACCTGCTTTGGTTTGCTCTGTATTTGGATAGTTTTTCTTTGAAGCCAGTGAAATTCTACTATCATCATCATTGCTTCCACCCATTTGCATCTTGCTCCAGTGCTCACAGCTCAGGCTGATTCAGCAGGTCACTAGAATGTCTCTGTTTTTTCTCTTCTGTTCTTCGCACGCCCAGTGCCTGATTTAACCCCCCCGAAAGGCTTCCTTAGAAGTCAACGGGAATTCTGTGTTATTACAAAAAGACAGGTTTAACTCCAAGCTTTTGCATGCTCTAGTTGTCTTGAAGTCTGTAAATCTCCTCTAATTAGCAAGCTAACCAAATGCTTGTGTTCGTCCCTGTTCTAGTGAATGCAGTCAGCTGCAGGCTGTTTTAGCATTACTAATACTTACTGGTATGTGTGCCTGTGTTTGCATCTGTGCCTGTATATCTGTGTGTATATCAGTAGCTAAAATAAACACACATAGCACCAGTAAGTTCATAGGAAGTAGCAATAGTCAAAATTTAAGTTTAAATCACAATTTGTACTTGCTTTTAATCTTAGCACTTCAGCTTGCTAAATATAATTAATCTTGTAGAAGCAAAAAAGGTGAAACTAACTCTGCTGTAGTGACGTATGTTTCCAGCATCTCAATCAGGATTTGGACCCATTTTTGGATCAGTGAAGAACTTCGGTCTGCCATGGTGATGAGATTGTGAAACGAAACAAACTTCAGGTACAATAACAATGTTATTAGGCTTTGTAAGAAATGTAATATGGTGCCAGCAAAGAGGTTTAATACCTCTTGAACTTGTGGACTTAGTCTTGTTGACTTACAAGCTGCTTACATGTTTAATAAGCAAGTGCTGAAGTTGATTCATGCATTAAAGAAGTAGCAGTCAGGCTGAGGCCTTCATGTTGGAGGTAAGCTGAGACTGAAGAGCACAGTCAGCAGTCTCTGTCTTTTTCTTTTTTCCCCCTCCCCTCTTTCATTTGGGACTGGATTTAATGATAAATGGACCTTAAAGAATAATGCTTTGAATAGCAGCCTTCCAGCCAGAGCCTGCACCAACAGTACGTGCTTCTGAGAGTGCCAGCATTGCTAGTCCTTGAATTACAAGGGAAAATGTTACTGTGTTCAAAGCCAGTAAAACATGGGTCTAATTAAAGGCAGAAACATAACGTCCATGATTAGCTGTGACTATTACAGGACAGTATTTGCCTTCCTGCAGGTGACTGCTATGAATTCAACTACATGCTCCCAGCTCTGCATATTTAACAGATGCTACAGAGCACTTTGTGTATTTTTGAGATCAGTTGGTCTTTACCTACTAAAAGATGGAGTGTCAGAAATCTCTTAAAAAATCTAGATTTTCCTAAAGAAGTTTGTTGCAAAGATGTGGCTTTCATTGTTAGAGGATGTTTTTAAGGACTTATAATTTATTTTTTTTAATGCACACATGTATGTGTGTGGAAACACACACACAATTTTCTTCAGATTTTGGATTTTAAATGTGTTTCATAGAATCCAGAAGGTTGTCTCTTCTCTGTCAATATTTGTGACTGGTTAATGATCAACCCCTTGACCTCCTGGCTGTTCCTGGTGTACATCCAAATCTCTGTCCTGTCTTTCCCCCCAAAAAATAAAGAAAAAAAGTGAGTATAATTGCATGGTTCTGTGTAAAGCGAATGCGTTCTGGATCCTGTGGGTTTGGCAGAATGATCCAGGTGGCAAAGAGGAATGTGCTGTCAAATCCTGGTAAATTGTTTAGCCTGGGAAGGTAATGCAAAGAAACAGAAACTTCTGTCGTGTAACTTTTACTGCCAGGTCTGTGGTGATGGTTTCCTCACTGGGGTGTGCGTACATGGGCTGCCTTGACAAGGCCGTGTGAAGCTGCTGGCTGGAGCGCAGCCCAGCCCTCAGCCTGCGATCCTTCGCCGTTTAAACAAGGCTGTCACTGGAACCAGCTTCTGCTCAGTTCGGGCCCGACCCACACCTCCCATGTTCACCATAGGGGTTTTATTCCTCCTTTGGGTTCAGATCAGGCCCTGCAGCACATCCTGGGCTAGGTCAGTCTCTGCACATTGCCTTGCAAACTGTTGGGATTCCTGTTGTTGTGTGCAGCGTCGGTGTGGCTTGAAGGAACAGTGGGCATCAGATCAAAAGGAACTGGGTAGAATTTGCGTTCTTTGTCCCTTCTCTTGCCTTCTTGCTTCTACTTCTGTATTTTTTTCAGGTTAATTCACCCTTGTTTTTGTGATACCACTTAGATTTTATTATATTATATTATATTGTATTGTATTATATTATGTTATATTATGTTATATTATTATATTGATATTGTATTATATTATATTCCAAAAGATACCAATTTTAGCAGGAAGTCAAGAGTGTTCTGACTGCACACTAAAATGGAGAGCAGGTCCTCAGTTGTGATGTTTCTCCTACTGATGTGCTCCATCCACAGCAGCTGTCCATTTGCGTATTCAGGTAGGTACTTCTGAATTATGTTTTTAACTTTATTGTCTTATTGTGACAATCTTGCATTTAAACTGAAACCACGTCCCTTTTCTGCACAAGGAAGTCAAGAGTGTTCTGACTGCACACTAAAATGGAGAGCAGGTCCTCAGTTGTGATGTTTCTCCTACTGATGTGCTCCATCCACAGCAGCTGTCCATTTGCGTATTCAGGTAGGTACTTCTGAATTATGTTTTTAACTTTATTGTCTTATTGTGACAATCTTGCATTTAAACTGAAACCACGTCCCTTTTCTGCACACAAAGTCCTGTGCGTTGCAGAAGCCACTTCCAGAAATGCACATGAAAAAATCAATATTCGTACATGTATTTCCAAGGGAAATCAGCCTTTTTTAACTTCCTACTTAGACCACTAAGAACTTTACTGTTGCAGGGTATTCTCTTTGTGACACTGAACTCCCAACATCTGAACTGTTTTTGTATGGCAAAGTTTTCCAATTTGGGAAGCTAAAATTAGGCACTTTCAACATGTGTTCCTGGACCTTGTGTTGATTTTACTGCAACTACACAAGGTTAGGAGATGGGTTCAGAGAGCTTTAGACAAGAGTGCAGGATCTCAGGAATCATTATGGCTGCCCTTGCAGAGGAGGAAGAGCAGAAGTAGAAGTGGTATCTGCAAACCAGGCGGCTTTACACAGGCATATCCTCTGTGTGGGATACCTGCTTACAATAGGCAAATCATTTAAAGATGACCCCATAACTCAAGGAGGGGTGAAGGGCAGTTTCACTGATGGAAGTGAAAGACATTTTCCCCATTACCAGACAGCAGGATATGCTCGAAGTTTTTCTCAGCAGGAGTTTTTGTGGGCTGCTTCTAATTGCCTAGAAATGAAGCAATTTAATATTATTCTAGAATTTCAGTCATTGCTGTAGATACTGATCCTGCAAGTGCAAGGAAAGGTGTGTCTTTGTGGGCCGTCTCCAAAGCTGGATTCTTTGTCAGGTTTTGACTTGTCTGGGACACTGAACAATGACGAGGGAAAGAGAGTGCTGTTAAGTTTTAGCAGGCTTTGTCAGGATTGCAGAGTGAGCTTTATTAAAACTCTTTAAACTCTTAACAGCAGTTTTTCAGTCTATCGGGTGGATGGGTTTGGATACAGGGACACACTTTTGGAGATGTAACAGAAAGGCAAAAACCTCCGTCTTCTCTTAATAATGGTGGCACATGGTATCAGTACATCCACAGGGGCTGTGAGCCCTCATTTTCCTTCAGAGCATCCTGACTGGAAAATCCTGGGAGCACTGTGCTTCAGCTAGAGGTGCCATATGCAACAGCAGGGGGTATGTGGGGAGGACCTTACTGACATATTCCCTCTTCTGGCCACTCGTCCCTTAATTTATTAGCATTGCAGGAGGAGGACAGATAGTTTAGTGGAATGAAGTTGTGATGAACTAAATGTAACTACAAACCTGACAGTTCATGTATTTCTCTTAATGAAGGAGCGGTGTCTGTCCTGTTGTGGCCTGTAGCTACCTTGGAAAGCACAGATACTACTGCATATTTAACAAAGCTGACACCAAACACAAACCAGACCTCTCCCTTCAGCTTTATTTCTGTGTGCACACACAGGCAACTAACAGTTGCTGTGGATAAGGACGGTTAGGCAGAAAAATATAACCAGCCTCCTTGCAATACTCAAGGATCTTGTGGAGTAAAACCTGATTTGTGCACTTTACTGTAAATCTGCTGATCCACTAAAAGAAAGCTTAAACTGCTTGTGTCTTTTGTTGGAACACGGGCTTGTTCTATTTTCTTTTGGACTGTTTATGTAGATTCCCACTCCCCTTCTGTGTGTTACGTACTGAGCTGAGAGCGTGCATGACTGTGACTCTAGTGGTGCCAGTTTGCTGTCTTCCAGTGTCACCTGTTCTGTTTTGTTTTCTAGTGTTCATGAGGAAGGACGAAGCACACGAGGTGCTCAAAGTCCACAAACGCGCCAACTATTTTCTAGAAGAGATTCGTCCGGGGAACCTGGAGAGAGAATGCAACGAGGAGAAGTGTTCCTTTGAGGAGGCCAAGGAGATCTTCCACTCACAGGAGAAAACGGTGAGGAACTTTACTTCAGGCAAAACAGAGGAAAGTCAACAGTGGCTGGTGGATCTTGCAGCAGCACGTTCTGGGGGTGACGTGGGGTGTCACACGCCTTTCCCTGGCTGGAACGTTTATGGATCTAAGTTTTCAGTTTAATTCTTATTCCAGTACAACCCAGTTCATGCACTCTGTGGCTGGTCCGTGACGCAAACAAAAGTGAGCTGCGTGGTGATGATCAGATCAGCTCTGAGAATGTATTTTATGGTTCTAATCAAAATGCTAATTTACATGCACCCTAAAAAATATATATTTCCTAAATGGTATCTCCAGTAACCAGTATGAGCACTTACTGACTGCTTTCTTCATTTGTGGTTTGTTGCAGATGGAGTTCTGGTTCAATTACAAAGGTAGGCAAATAATGGAATTAAAAAAGAATCATGTCTTGCATCCCTTCTGGGTACAAAGAATTATGTGGCAGTTTAAAGCCAGGCTTCTCTTAATTACATTGTGCCTTGTTTCTTCTTCTTAGGTTTAAATCCATGTAATACAAACCCCTGTAACAACGGCGGAGTCTGCAAAATAAGACACTACAATTACTTTTGCATCTGCCCCCCAAAATTTGGAGGAGACAACTGTGAAAAAGGTGAGTACAGGGCACACTGACATTCACTGTGAAGAATTAAGGCTGGCATTTGCTCGTTGGATACCTGAGCTGTTTTCACCGATGTTTTCAGTGGTGACTTACCTGTCTGGTCCAGAGCTGGTTGGTTGTTAAAGGTTCATACATAAGAACAGTGTTTTCTTACATGACAAGTTGGGACACCACCACCCTGGGAAGGGAATTACTGTGTGACAGCAGCTGTAGCTACTTCTGGCTCTGATGTGTGGAAGAAGAGGGTAATGCCACCTCCTGTCATACAGCTGTGGCAGTCCTGGTCCTTCACTCATCTGTGCAAGCCCTGAGGAAGGCAGGTGGCCACCTCCCATCTTCTTCCAAGAAAAAATAGGGAATTACCTCTTGCTACCACTTCAGAGTGGTAACAAGTCTAGTGACCAAGGTCATAGACACTGGAGGTGGTTCCTGGCGAGGCCCTCTTCTTTTTATAACTTCCTTGAGTAAATGCATCAAGCCAAAGCTTAGTGTAAAACACAGACAAATTTAAAACTGTATTTATGTTGTAAGATACCAGTAATGAAAAATGAATTGGAAAAACTGCCTCCCTCTTACCAGATTTTTGGTCCTCTGAAATAGCATATCAGATTTGAAAATGACCGAGGCATGAAATACAGTGAAAGCCAAACTAACATAAGTAGGGTTTTTTCTGCAAAATACTTTTCTTGACTTTTCCTTTTTACAGTGAAGCAATGAAACATGTTTTTTTAATGGAGCAATGCAGAAAAAAACTCAAGTCAATTTCTCACAGATTTGGCCTCCACCAAAATGCCCAGTACTTTACATCTGTCATGACAGACAAAGTAAGATTTGCAGGCAGATGAAAAATGGATGCATTTAGAAGCGCTTGCTCTTCCAGGTATTTTCTTGCCCCTGCTTTACAGGCAGAAGGGCCTCAGGACAAAAGAAATGGTAGAAACAGGCAAACAACAGACAAAAGGCCATGGGTTTGGTTTGCTACAAATCAGCGAGGTTTTCTGGAACTATGAGGTAGTTCCCTCTGTTCCCCTGTGAGATTTCAGCAGGGTTTTTTTCCTGCTTTCTTTCCTGTAACAGTGGTGCCTAGAGGCTGCTCAGGGGTCCATGCACAGCAATAACCTGTATGTTTCCATGGCAGAGAAGTTTGAGTGTTGGTACAAGAACGGTGGGTGCTGGCAGTACTGCAGGGACAGCAGCAGCGCCTTTCACGTGGTGTGTTCCTGTGCAAAGGATTACACCCTGCACGAGGACGGGAAGAGATGCGTGCAAGCAGGTAATGCGTGGTCCGCGCGGAGTTAGAATCCCGGAGCCATAGAATGGTTTGGGTCAGTTATTCCTGAGCTCTTACAGGAGCGTTGAATTCTGTTCTTTTGTGTTGGGAATTTGACATGACCTAAACTCGCATCTTTATTTCTGTCTGTCTTCCCTTCAGCACCGTTTCCATGTGGCCTGATTAAAGCCAGGCAGGCTCTGGAGGAAGAGCAACTGGGGCCAGAGAGGTTCCCGAGGGGCCTGCATGAGCACGGGGACAATGAGGCCAAGAGGAATGAGAGCACAGAGGGCACAGTCAGGCAGATGGAGCTGAACCAAAGCGCTGCTGGGGAAAATGAGACCTTAAGGGATGACTTTGGGCAGAGCACACACGTGGAGGGTGACACGGGACAAGCGGTGGCAGGGAACAAAACCCTGGTGGACTCTGTGATGCAGACGCCGCTGGGGGCAGGTGTCCCTGCACACAGTGAGGTGGGGGGAGGCACTGCCAGGCCTGGTGAGCCCAGGAGAGGCCCGACTCCATGGCATGAGCCCACCCAGGACCCTCTGTGGCAGGAGGAGACCATGGAGCCTGCTGCCAGGCAGGAAGAAGTGGTGGAAAATGCCATCCAAACAGCAGGGGCCAGGCTTCGTCAGAGCAGTGACCGGGGACGTGTTTCAGATACACCTTGGTTTGTCCAGCTAAATGTCAGCTCTACTTTACAGCACAATGGCTCCAGGATAACAGGAGGAACTTTGTGTCATCGTGGACACTGCCCCTGGCAGGTAATACTTGTCTGGCCACAAATAACCACACTTGTATACTTTGGATACTTTCTTATTTTGTCATCACTGGTTGCAGCTGGAGCAGAGTTCGTCAAGCCAAGGTTTTTTGGGGCGAGACACATCCAGACACATGTATTCCTCAAACTTCTGCAGGTCCTTTTGACGATCACACACCTTAGTTGCCTTTTTTTATCATTCCTCTCCCTGTCCTGTCCTAGCCTAGATACAGGTGCTTTTGTTATCTCAGCTTAATGCTTTCTCTCTTAATTCTATCCATCGGGTCTTTTCCTGCTCTGTTACTCGGGTTGTTTCTCAGTGTTCTCGGTGAAAAGCTGTCCTTCCACTCCCTTTGGAATGGCTGCTGCTACTTTTCACAGACATTTTCCTATCACCAGGTGAGATTCTCCATTAGACTGCTCAGCTTTTCAAACTTGCCAATAGTAAGGAAGGTAAAACTGAGAGCGCTCAGATATGAAGGTGGGTCAGGAATCCCCCTGAAGTGTTTATTTCTACCCTCCTTTTTTGTTTGGGGTTTTGGTTTGGTTTTTTTTTTTTGGAGGGGGGGGGGGGTTCGGGTTGGTTTTCTGGGGGGGGGGTTTTGGTTCTTTTTTTTTGTGTGGGGGGGTTTTTGGTTTTTTTTTTTTTTTTTTTGCTTTTTTTGGTTCTTTTTTGTTTGTTTTTGGTTTGCTTGTTTTTTGTTGGTGTTTTGGTTTTTGTGTGTGTGTTTTGCTTTTTCGGGCTTTCTGTGTCTCTCGTTATTAATTTTTCACTTACTTATATTGTCTCTGTCTCATGAGTGCACTGTTATGTAGGGGCTTGTTAACAGACTGATCTAAACCAGCTGTGGTTACTGCCAGTGGTTTAGTGCTGTCACACAAGATGACTTTCCTGTCGCACCCATCAGGAGGTATTTTATGGGGGGAACAGGCGGTTTGACCTGTGTGGACCACGCAGCCCCCGTGCAATCCTGCAGTTATGTCACTACTAGGAAATTGTGAAGTGTTTAAGTCAAAATGGCTCATGGTGTAAAACGTGACATCACACCAGAACTCATGTTGTGCCTTTTTCTGCTTTTTCATTATTAACTTCACAACACTGCAGAGTACCAAAATTTAAGCTTTCCCTGCAGGTTAACATGAAATAACAGCTTCAGGGAGGAGTTTAACTGAAGAGAGGTGGAGGCATTACTGAAGTTTATAATCCTGAATAGACAAGACAAACAACTGACAGGGAGCAGCATGTTTTTACTTCTCCATTTTCTGCTGTATAGAAAATACCAGATTTTATTACCAGTAAATGAAAACCAACAAAGTTTCTCAATCTGCACTTACTTGCACTTTCATTTGACAGCTGGGAAAGTGAAAAACTGTTTTCTATCCCTTGTTCATGTAGACAAATGCTGCTCTTCTTTTTTAACCAGAGTACCAGTGAAATACACCTTGTGTTACCCTTCTCCCCCACCACCCTTAAAATGTGAAGCCAGGTAATAAGTCA